ATATATATATATATATATACACATATATAGATATCTACCTATATAGATCTATATCTATATATATCTATCTATACATATATTTGTGTATCTCTATATCTGTATTTATCTATATCTGTATATGTATGTACTAGCCAATTGCCCATCCAGAATGATGGAGGGAGGGTGTGCGGGGATGAAGTACCACCACCCACCACCCCACGTCACCACTGCCTCCCAGGAATGGAGGGGGGGTGTCCGCCCCGCCCCCCGCTCCATGTTCTGGCCCATGGCCCCACCCCCACCACTCCATGTCTGGCCCCATGCCCAGGGGTAGATTAATGTGTACTGGGGCCCTGGGCAAACACAAAATTGGTGGGCAGGGGGTGGGGGAAAGGGCCCCCTCCCCTCTTGGTGCTGGCAGGGAATGCTGGGAGGACCCTGCCGGGCTGGGGGTGGGGGGACACCCCCCTGCTCCATGTCCCCACCGCGTCCCACTATGGCCAAACATACACACACACACGCAGTCGTGCACACAGATGGGCACACACTCTACTCTCACTCACTTTCTGCACATGGACACACACACAAACATACTCTCCCTGCCATGAACACCGACACGTGCACACACACACGCATGCACGGACACACAGACACATGCACACACACACATGCAGATGGGTGCACACTCTACTCACTCTCTGCACATGGACACACAAACACAAGCATGCTTTCCTTGCCATGAACACAGACACATGCATGCACACACACACAGACATACTTACGCACACGTGCAGACTGGCACGCACTCTAGTCCCTCACTCTCTGCACATGCACACACAGACACATGCACGCACACACACAAATGAGTGTGCACTCTACTCACTCACTCTGTACATGGACACACAGAGACAAACACAGTCTGCCTGCCATGAACAGTCCTCCACCCGACACCCCAATGCACCTCACTCACAACCCGCCCCAACCACCCTCCCTGCTGGTGCCCTCACTCCTGACCCTGGCACTGCCAGTGCCCCCTGCACTTCCAAACCATAGTCCCCCACCCCGGTGCCCCACACTCCCAAACCACAGCCCCCACAGCTCTGCAGCAGCCCCTCACTCCCAACTCACTGACTCCAGCCCTGCCAGTGCCCCTCACTCACCAAACTGTAGTACCCTGCCCCCCTGGGTCCTGATGGTGCCCCTCACTCCTGACCCATACTCCACCACTCCCCATCCCTGCTGGTGCCCCTCACTCCCAACCCTCAGCCCCCTGGTGCTGCCAGTGCCCCCACCCTCCCAACCCACAGTCCCCCGCCCTTACCCCGATGCCCCTCACTCCCGACCCGCAGCCCCTTGCCCCCCCAGCCCTGCCAGAGGGGCCCCAGCTGTCCCTGTCCTGCCTGGGCCAGAGCGCGATGGCTCTGATTCATGCAGGCAGTGGCAAAGCGTGTTCGGCCCCAGCGCGGACAAGAGGGAAGAGGAGGGGAGGCTTGTGACACCCCCACCCTGGGATAGGGCTGCAGTGCCTGGTAGGCAGCCTGGCTAGGGCCCCTCTCCTCCTCCCTGGGCAGTGGCTCCTGGCTGCTCAGCCCTGCCTAAATGTCCGGGATTTTGCTGTGCTCCGGGGGTGGGAGCAAGGGGAGTCAATCGGAGCCAGCAGGGAGCACCCCATGGGTGTGCACCTCCGCAGCTGCAGGCAGATCCATGTGTACTCCCTGCTGCCTGTGATCACGCTTCCCTTGCTCCCACTGCCGGAGCAAAGGGAAATCCCAGACAACCCATCCTAGTGGACTCCAAGATGAACATGAGTCGGCAGTGTGACGAAGCCATCAGAAAAGCCAATGGCACTTTATCGTGCATCAGCAGATGCATGACGAACAGATCGAAGGAGGTGATACTTCCCCTCTATCGGGCGCTGGTCAGACCGCAGTTGGAGTACTGCGTGCAATTCTGGGCGCCGCACTTCAAGAGGGATGTGGATAACCTGGAGAGGGTCCAGAGAAGGGCCACTCGTATGGTTAAGGGCTTGCAGACCAAGCCCTACGAGGAGATACTGGGGCACCTGGACCTCTTCAGCCTCCGCAAGAGAAGGTTGAGAGGCGACCTTGTGGCTGCCTATAAGTTCATCACGGGGGCACAGAAGGGAATTGGTGAGGTTTTATTCACCAAGGCGCCCCCAGGGGTTACAAGAAATAATGGCCCCAAGCTAGCGGAGAGCAGATTTAGACTGTACATTTCTTCTTCACAGTTCGAGTGGCCAAGGTCTGGAACGGGCTCCCAAGGGAGGTGGTGCTCTCCCCTACCCTGGGGGGCTTCAAGAGGAGGTTAGATGGGCATCTAGCTGGGGTCATCTAGACCCAGCCCTCTTTCCTGCCTATGCAGGGGGTCGGACTCGATGATCTACTGAGGTCCCTTCCGACCCTAACATCTATGAATCTATGAATCTATGAATCAGAGGGCTTTAAAAGAGTGGGGACATGTCCCGGGAAACCCAGATGTATGGTACACTTTGCATGCGCACTTGAGCAAAAGCGTTACATCTAGACAGACAGATTAAGCCCTTTATAAAATTAGAATATCTGTATATATCTTTCTATCTCACTATATGTATGTATATGTATCTATCTTTTATATCTGTCTATGTCTATAGATCTATTTTTATATATATATATCTATTTATCTTTATGTGTCTATTTTCTTCTTTCTATTTATATGTGTCTTCCTATCTATATCTATTTACCTGTATCTAGCTATCTATACGTGTATGTATCCACATCTATAGTGTGTGTGTGTGTGTGTGTGTGTGTGTGTGTGTGTGTATATATATTATATGTAAAATACACCTGTGATTCATAGCTCATTACCCTGCTTTTGACCCCCGTGCTGCTAGTCTGAAGCTAGGTCACATTCTGGGCCTGCCTGCTACCATCCTGCATGTGGCGTAGATGCCTCTTGGGGCAGAAACATTTGGTCCTCATTTAACGACTGCCCGTGACGAAGACCCTGTCGTATCCCTGGGGCTGTTGTCTGATGGCTCATTCCCCTTTGCCGCTACACGCAGATTGGGATGAATTTATTTCCCTTCAGCTTCCAGCTGTGGATTCTTATTCTCCTTTGCTGCTAGATGCTCCTAGATACGAACTGGGCTGAAACACGTATGACCCAGTTGGCTCCTCCATCCACAAAGCTCTCTTGAAGCTGAGGACTCGGCCTCGTGCCTGCAGAGTCCGTTGTAGTGAGGAAGAGCTAAATGTTTTGGGCTTGTTTGATTTTCCCCCCTAGGTCAATGGAATAAGAACTCTGCTCCCAGTCATCCTCCTCAATGGGAAGATCCAGGTGCACCAAAGTGGTTTCTACGTGAGAATCACCACGGATTTTGGGCTGGTGGTCTCCTACGATGGGCGGCATCACGTGGAGGTCATGGTGCCCCCTGCCTACTTCAATGCCACGTGCGGCTTGTGTGGGACCCTGACCGATGACCCTGATGATGACTTCTGGATGCCCAACAGCACATTAGTGACATCCCCTGTGGCCTTCACCACGAGCTGGCAGGTCATGGAAGAAGGGCGCCCGTGCGTGGGGGACGTGGAACTGCCTGCGTGCCCTGATGCCCAACGGGCTCGTTATACCAGCAATGACTCCTGTGGCTTCATGGAAATGTCTCCGGGCCCCTTTGCGGCCTGTGCTCAGGTCCTGCCCCCCGTGGCCTTCGTGGAAAGCTGTGTGGAGAATCTCTGCGTGGTGCCTGACGCAGACCCAGAGACGCTATGCAGAGCTCTGGGCAGTTACATGGAGAGCTGCCAGGCTGCTAACATCACCGTCGGGCAGTGGAGGACAGACAGCTTTTGTGGTAAGAGCTCTGCTTAATTGCCCTGAGACTCTCTCTGAGGTTGTCCATTCCCTGGAGATGCCTGGTCCCTCTTGCAACAGTCCCCGAGAACTCCTTCATCTTAATGCGGTGAGGTTGGGCCTTGTTCCCAACTCCATTTGGGAGTTTCTAGAGTCATAAAGTCATATGCCAGGGTGGAAGGGACCTCCAGAGGTTGTAGAGCCATGGTCATGGAGTTATAGAGAAGCTGGGCTGGAAGGG